AGGTCCAAAAGTCTGAAACCAAAGTGAAAATGCTTCTAATTTGCATTTCTGTAATTTAATACATTCATTACTCATAACAACTTGATTTGCATTTAATTTGTGAAAAAAATTGCATAATGTGTGTGTTAATTGACAAATTGACATGGATTTCTGAATGTATTATTTGTTTTGTTGTTTTGCTTTATTGGCAGCAGTGCTCAGTTAGCTTTTTTGTAAATCCTAAATAGATTTATAGAGGATTTGACCTAAAGAGCATCTTGTGCTTCAATGAAATTAAGAACATTTGACTCTCTGTATGAAGGAGTTCACATGATCAATGTCACAAATTTGATTATGGACGTTTAAATAGTGCAGAATCTTTTAAATATTTATTTTATTTGTTACTTACAGTTTTAAATTACCTCTGTTTTTTAAATTTCAGACTTTTGGACCACACTGTAAATCACACTGAAACAAATATTGAATATTGCAGTATTTACTGCAATATTTACACACTGTACACTACCATTCAAAAGTTTGGGGTTGGTAAGATTTTTACAAATATTTTTGAAAGAAGTCTCTTATACTCACCAAGGTTGCATTTATGTAATAAAAAATGCCTTAAAATAGTTAAAAACAGATATAATAAAAGTATAAATATTAATAATAATAATAATACAATTATTAGCAATAACTGCTTTCTATTGTAATATATTTTAACAATTTATTCCTGTGATGGCAAAGCTGAATTTTCAGCATACAATTTATCAATAAATTCAATATACACTATAGGGCTGCTACCAGTCGGATTAAATAATTTACACTGCAAATAACAATAATTACAACTGCAATAAATAATGTTATGAGATTAATGTTTTAAATGCATTTATGAATATACAAATAAGAAATGTTGAGGGGGGAAATCCATACTTTTCAACAAACTTCTCAACTAAACTAAAAAAAAAAAGTTTAAGAAGAAAGTTTTTTTAAATTGTAATAAAATTTCACAATATTCCTGTTTTACTGTATTTTTGACCATATATATTCATCCTAGAATTGACATTGAATTAAATGCAGTTATTATACATTTATATGTAACTACCGTTCACCAAAGTTTATTGTGGGAGGGGGGGTTAATAAATGCAAAAAAAGTGGTAGCATGAATAATCTTTGGGAAAAATCTATGAAATAATGGGTTAAGAGCAGGTATACAGCTGATCTAACCTCCTCTGGTTTGCCTGCTCCTCTTTCCACCGTCTCAATGAAGCCATCCGAGTTTCTCCTCAGAGAGAGACGACCACGCTTGGATCCTTTAGATGGGTCCGTCACTGGCTGCTTATAGACGTCCATCTATGCAAACACAAATGACATGATAATAAAAGAAACAAATAGCAATACAGCTCAAATGCACTTTTTGAACTTGTTTAAACAACTCACGCCTTTGCCATTGGTCTCCACATAGCTGCACTTAAATGCACAGTTAAGCGTGTCTCTGTTGATTTTCTGCAGGAGTGCACTTCCGCAACCGAAAAACATATTTTCTGCACTCCAACCTTCATCGCTCAGTTTCACCAGAATCTGCGCTAGCCAAAAAAACAAAAAAATATTGTAATACTGACCAGAGTACGATCACTGATTTACCACTGTGTAATCAATAATAATGTTTAGAATCAAGCAGTCATAATAAATAGTTGATAAACATTCAGAGCCAGTATCACGTTGTCCCTGTACTAGTTGTATGAGTGCACCTACAGTGAGGTCCAAAAGTCTGAAACCAAAGTGAAAATGCTTCTAATTTGCATTTCTGTAATTTAATACATTCATTACTCATAACAACTTGATTTGCATTTAATTTGTGAAAAAAATTGCATAATGTGTGTGTTAATTGACAAATTGACATGGATTTCTGAATGTATTATTTGTTTTGTTGTTTTGCTTTATTGGCAGCAGTGCTCAGTTAGCTTTTTTGTAAATCCTAAATAGATTTATAGAGGATTTGACCTAAAGAGCATCTTGTGCTTCAATGAAATTAAGAACATTTGACTCTCTGTATGAAGGAGTTCACATGATCAATGTCACAAATTTGATTATAATATTGAATATTGCAGTATTTACTGCAATATTTACACACTGTACACTACCATTCAAAAGTTTGGGGTTGGTAAGATTTTTACAAATATTTTTGAAAGAAGTCTCTTATACTCACCAAGGTTGCATTTATGTAATAAAAAATGCCTTAAAATAGTTCAAAACAGATATAATAAAAGTATAAATATTAATAATAATAATAATACAATTATTAGCAATAACTGCTTTCTATTGTAATATATTTTAACAATTTATTCCTGTGATGGCAAAGCTGAATTTTCAGCAGCCATTACTCCAGTCTTCAGTGTCACATGATCCTTCAGAAATCATTTTAGTATGCTTTTTGCTGCTCAAGACATATCTTATAATTATCAATGTTAAAAACAGTTGTTTTGCTTAATATTTTTGTGAAACCTGCTTAATTTTGTTCAGAATACTTTGATGAATAGAAATCTTAAAAGAACAGTAAACTTTACTGTCACTTTCGATCAATTTAGTGCATCCCTGCTGAATAAATTATTTAAAAAATCTTACTGACCCCAAACTTTTGAATTGTAGTGTGTGTTTTCTCTCTTGATCTGAGGTTAGTTTACCTCATTAATCGAGTTCAGATCAATTCCATCTCCCTGGATAATGCGCAGGTATGATGGGAGCACCTTGTAACCAACTGAGTTCAGAGAACATCCAAAACACTCCTCCAAAATCTTTATCACCTAAAAGTGAGACAGAAGAGACAAATTAAGTGGGGAAGAAAATAAAAATTAAAGGCAAAAAGTGTGATAAAGCCAGCTAATCAACTCCACTATTTAATTCATCAAATACGTACAAGCAACAAACTAATCTGAAAAACATGCTATACCACATTATATAAAAATAAAATCGATATTCTAGGGAAGGGGTCTATAAACTCGGTCCTGGAGGGCCAGTGTCCTTCAGAGTATAGCTCCAACCCTAATTAAACACACCTGAACCAGCTAATTAAGATCTTACTAGGCATACTAGAAACTTCAAGGTAGGTGTTTTGAGGCAAGTTGGAGCTAAACTCAGCAGGACACCGGCCCTCCAGGACTGAGTTTGGAGAACCCTGTTCTAGGGCATTGCTTTCATACAGGCATCAAAGCAACGGATGCAATCTGCAAATCCTACAAGCCCTGTAAGTCACAATGTAGCACAGTGCTGGAGACAGCTTTAAGCAAACCCATTTGTTTGAGCCTTTATTAAACTAAAATAAAGTTCAATCACTGAAACAGCTGCCTTAAGGTCTGTAGTGAACACTACTCCACTTAGAACACAATTGGTACATGATACACACCTCTAAGAGCGTCTGAGCGGGGTCCCCAGAGTCTGGACGAATAATAAGGGCAGAATCCTCACTCCTCTCCATCACTCTCTCCTTCAGCTTGTCCCCCCAGATGTGCTTACAAGCCTTAAAAATGTCATAACTGTCGCTAACCACAGCTACAGGCCCAGAGGGAAACTGGTCCAGCAGACACTCAAACGCATCTTTCTCTCGGCTCTTGCCCCAGGAGATGATAGTGCTACAGAGACATGAAAAACAAAGTGTGACAAACCTTCTTCAAATGATCTACAATTAGTGAAGTGCCACCCACTCCTGCTTTATTTATTTTGAAGGTGCATAAGGCTAAGACTAAAATAAACAGGTTTAATTTTGCTAAAGAAGACTTAGAAAGAAACATTTGCAGCAAATGAGTCATTCGTGTCTAACGATCCTTAGCCGTAGAGCTATAAAAACAATCACGGAGTGATTCACGAAACGGTTGAAAAACTTACATTTGAACTTGGAAAGATGTCACAGAAGCAGTCGTGTGATTTGAAATAAAGAGTGAGAGCTATACTGGGAAATGCACTCAACCACACAGACAAAAGGCGCTACAGCTGCGAGATGCATAAATGTGTAGCTACTAATAGAACAAATTAGAATCAATGGAACAAATGCAAATTAACACGCAGGTGTTTAACGTCAGTGCTGAATTTCCAAGACATAGGCTGTTTGAAACTGAAGACAGCTGTCTTAACTGACTCGCTGCCCAGTCCGTCTTAAAGGGAAAATCTGTACTAATTTCCAAGCAATCACGATGAATATGATGAAGCTTTCAAGCTACTAAAGAACACAAAAAAAGTGGTCCATACAAATTGTTCACTATATTCCAAGTCTTTTGAAGCCATATAATAGTTGTGTGTGATGAACAGACCAAAAGTTAAGCCGTTAATGACTCAAAATCCTGATGTCTGCTCTAACGCCCCTTGGCAGGTTCATGAGAGTTCAGGAGATTTGTTCATTTCTCCATTTCAACTCACCTAATCTGGTCACAATGAACATCAGCTCATGGAATGGGAATAATGAGTTAAATTTCTATCTGTTAATTACACAAACTCTATAATCATCATGAGGTTTCAGACTCGAAATACAGCACATAATCACATAAAACTCTTGTATAGAGTTTCTGTGTTATTCTTTGAAGTTTTGAAAGTTCCAGTCCCCATTCATTGTAATTGCATGGAAAAAAGCAACAATTATAGTCTTCAAAATATTTCCTGTTTCAGGGAAGAAAAAAAGTCATATGGATTTGGAGTGATAAAAGGGTAAGTTGTAAGGGTATATGGGTAATGATATTTAATGGTTTTAAACAGAATTTTTTAATTAATTAATTTTATAATCTAAACTTTCAGACAGTCTTCTTTATTTTATTATTATTTAGTACATACATTCTATTATAGTATTTATTAATATTTTGAGTTAGCTTTTATTTTTTTCAGTTTTCTTTTTAATTTTAGTTTAGGTTTTAGTATTTTTTGTGCTTGTCATTTTTATTAGTGTTTTTTTTTTTTATATTTCGATATAACAATTAACAAACTTTCAGCTGAGCAGGTTTTAGGCAGGATGAAATTTGATCATGCCTTGACGAAATAAGTGTGCATTACCTGTGTTCTGCAGCAGGAATGGAGAATCCAGCCATAGGACATCCGTAGTATCGCTGTGCCATAAGCAGACCTGCCACTGTATCTGTGCTGCAGAAATTCACCAGATGAGCAGCTCCACCAAGCGCTGCCGACTATTTCAGTAAAGAGAGAAAGAACACAGCAGAAATAAGCCAATGAACCTGTTTAATGTTCAGTCTCCAGTGTCTCCAGTGAAATCCAAAAGATCAAATGTTGTGATTTCTCTCACACCATTTAAAACATTAGCCAATTCCCATTATGTTGATCTTGTTTTAGTAACTGAATTATAGTCAGTGGCTTATAAGAAGCAAATCATAAGAGAGATTTTGACTGTTCAATTGTGTCAAAAAGACATTTTCTATATTCCCCTGATTTAACGCTCAGGTTATTGAGTCTGTCTCAGTTCATTCATCGCAGGGTCACAGTAATCAGGGGGGATTTGCCCTTTAGTGATAGTCAAGGGAAGGATGTTGCTCTAAAAAGTGAACACGATTAGTTCCTAGCAAAATCTCTTTAGCCCCTTGAGGAGAGCACCAATATTTCTTAATCTCCTACAAGGTGTGTATTTATGTGAGAATTTGAGGAGTCTATTTTGTTTTTCTTTCCCCTTTTTTTTTTTTTTTAATTTTAAGAACTGATGAGATCTGGGCTTGATATGAACTCAGGGAAATCAGATCCGTAACAAGGCTTTAGTCTGCAGCTGTGATTGTAGCAAGGATCTAGGGACCTCATCATGTAATTGTCAATGCAGTAGAGGGGCACAGCGCAGCACAATATGATCGATCAATGATGGATCAGCACAAATACCAGTGTTATTTTAGTATTATTTATATACTATTGTAGAATTTTTTAATAGATTTAATAGATTACTTCACTTTTTCTACCTAAAAACAAAAGACATATGGGTTTAAAAGAATTTGAGGGTGAGTGAATGATGACAGAACTTTCACTTGTTAACCACTCCTTTAAAAGCATTAAAATCTATCACTGCTTGTCCCCTGATCAAAAGAGAGTGATGAAGGAGAGTGAACAGGAACCCTGAGTATCAGAGGCATTAAACTCTGCTTGGCATCATTAATCTCCTCTTGAAGCCATCATTAATCTAGTCAGCCGCAACCTAGAAAATACACTATCAATATCCCACTGTCCCTAATGAAGACTCGATAGTTTTACACAGCATGGTTCGGTCTGTTTTCAGCTGCTGAGGGAGAAGCGCTTCGGGCTTTCTTAGATCTCACACTGATGTTCTTTCCCTTCTAATTCATTCAGTTTTTTCCTTTCTTCAAACAATTTTAGCACTTACTTTCCCCACAAAGCCTCGCATGAGAATGACAGTGAAATATTTCACGTAATCGCCAGTGATCAAACAGGCTTAAACACACACACAATAGCAATATTACATTGACATAATGTGGGCCCTGATTAGGACGTCCAGATGGATGGGTCTTCATTGGACAGTCATGTGACCAACAGATAAAATTCTATAGGACATAACTGATTGTTACTGGTGTAAAAAAACAAAACAAAACAAAATAAAATATAAGTGCAGTGGTATTATTTTCCAATGAGGTTACAAAAGTTGCAAGTTCAAATCTCTTTTAAATCTCTGCTAGTAAAAAAATTAATTAAATCATAAAATTAAAAATATATATGTGACCCTGGACCACAAAACCAGTCTTAAGTGTCAATTTTTCGAAATTGAGATTTATACATCATCTGAAAGCTGAATAAATAAGCTTTCCATTGATGTATGGTTTATTAAGATTGGACAATATTTGGCCGAGATACAACTATTTAAAAATCTGGAATCTGAGGGTGCAAAAAAAATATATATATATATTAAGAAAATCGCCTTTAAAGTTGTCCAAATGAAGTTCTTAGCAATGCATATTACTAATCAAAAATGAAGTTTTGATATATTTACGGTAGGACATATACAAAATATCTTCATGGAACATGAGCTTTACTTAATATTCTAATGATTTTTGGCATAAAAGAAAAATAGATAATTTTGACCCATACAATGTATTTTTGGCTATTGCTACAAACATATCCGTGCAACTTAAGACTGGTTTTGTGGTCCAGGGTCACACATATATAAATTCAAAATTGTAAAAAAAAAATAATAATCATAATTCTGAATCAAATCAAATTAAACCTTTTTAGAACAGTTGTATTATATCTGTTATGGAATTACAAAGGTTGCAAGTTCAAATCCGCAAAATCTTGCTTATTTTTAAAGTTACAAATGTAATTAAATCATTAAAATAAACAAAACTTTTGAATCAATTAAAATAAAAACCTTTTCAGTACAGTGGTATTATATTTGCTATAAGGTTACAAAAGTCGCAAGTTCAAATCTCTGCTAGTTAAAATTTTTTAATTAAATTATAAAATAATAATGATAAAAAAATCATCCAATTAAAATTTGTAATCAAATCAAACCTTTTCAGTGCAGTGGTATTATATGTGCTATGGAGTTCCAAAGGTTGCAAGTTCAAATCTCTGAGAAACTTATAAACTATGATTATTTTTAATAACAAAGATAAAAGGCAACTGTATATCAGTGAATATATATTAAGAGTCGGTGTCATAAACACTTTGGTTTGTGAGTCTAGCCAGGTCAGGTACCTTCTATAAAGAATTGTTTTTAGCTCATTAATAAGACTTAAATGTAAAAATCCAGCCTGTGAAATGACCTAAACCTTCAAGCATATTTTTCTATGTTCATGGAAAACGCACCTTTTCTAATCGGTCAGGCTGCTGGGTTGATCTATGAAGTCTGCGTCACCATCTACAGTTTTAGATCATGGCGCACTGGTCTCAAAAGGGCACCACATAGGGGTTATGTCACACCTCATCAGAATCCAGTGGTCTCACTTTCACACACAGACACACACAAAGGTCTCCTGCACTAAACACATCCAGCCAATCAGTAACAGACTCACTGCTTATCACTAGTCACCCAACACCTGAACCCGCCACTGTGTGATATAGATGAAACCTGGCAGAGCTGACCTTTACACAGCAGACGGACCGATTCAAGAGCCAAACAGTCATCTTTACTCACACAACTCTTCAAACAGCACCACCCGATAACCCAAAACCCATCAGCGCGACAACCTCACTCAAACACAGCCAACAATCAGGGCTCCTACCTTTGAAAAATACAGAAATCAAGAGCGGCCAGCATTGCTTGCATTTCAACAGGTCAGGTCTGATCTCCTTTTTGATTAAATAGAATGGCCTTGTCTCATAATGAATCGATTTTCTGCTTTCACCAAGTAATGTCTGATTTAATTTGCCCCAGATGATCGAGCTTTCTTTAAAAAGCACTGAAGAAGGAAAGACCACGTTAGGCTCGAGCTTTGATTTCAAGGCTAAAAAATGAATAAAGTGTGCAGTGAATGTCTACAGAAATGGGACCTTCAGGGCAAAACAATGTTATGTAATCAGTTAAACATGAAAATCAGTTCTTTTCTAGTTTTCTATACAGCCTCTTATAGTCAAAACATATAAAAGATTGTTTTTTGTAAGTATCAATCACACAACACAACAGACTAGTCATTTATTAAAACAAAGATTTGCACATCCAGAATTACTAGCAAGGTACCATGGTAAAAACTAAACATGGTAACAGCGTGGTACTAGGATAATGTTTGAAATATCTCACACAATACTGCAAATATTCACTGTGCTGATCCAGTGTTATTTATATTTATTCACTATTATAGTGTTTATTAATATTTTAACTGATCTTTTATAGCATAAATTATTTTTTATTTTAGATTAGTTGTATTAATTTACTAATTTTAGTACTGCAGCATAAACATTTATTTCAGCTAGTTACCAAGGCAACCATTTTTAAGTTATTCATTTATATATTTGTATATAGTTTTTAGTTAACAATAACAACACAGTCCTGAACAGGAAGTGTAATTACTGATCCACGCCCATCGTACCTCTTGTGAGGACACACCTCTGTAGCCAAAATCGTGCAGTTTGGTGTCTAGTCCCTCCAGGCTCCCTGACGTGGCCTTCAGGTGCTTGGCCAGAATCTTTTTGAACTCCCTGGAGATTGTTGCCACGGTGATGGGGTACCACATTTGGACCAGCATCGTCTGCAGGAACAGAATGCACACACAATCACATGTACGTCAGAGAAGATAAGACCAAAGATGGCTTGTAATTGCGCTCACAATTTTTATGACCCTGACCATTTTAATTGCAACACATTGATCTGTGGCCCCTTTAAGGATGTGCACGTCAGGAACTGACAAAGACAAAGAAAAAACTGTTTGTGTGGTTCTACATGCTTTTCTGTTATAAATTTTCTCACATCAATACATAAACTGTGCACACTGATTAAGCTGACAGAAAGCCAATAAGGCAAATAAGGTTTGGCTTAAATTGTTCATGATATCTTGAATAAAAGGACACCTTTTTAAAGAGGTCATAGAATGCCCATTTTCCACAAGTTGATATGATTCTTTAGGGTCTTAATGAAAAGTCTGTAACATAGTTTGGTTAAAATTTCTCAATGGTAGTGTAAAAAACACCTTTTTTACCCCGTCAAAAACAGCTCTTTTCAGAGCACGCAATTTTGTAGCATTTTCCTTTAAATGTTAATGAGCTCTGCTGACCCCGCCCCTTCTCTTCCGAGCTGCTCTCAGAGAGACCGTTTACTTTAGCCGCATTCATCGTGAAAATTGCTAATTAGCACATTATTAGGAAAGGCGATTTGGAAAGGTTCATTAAAAAAACCTTACACTCACTTCTTCTGTAGGTGAAGCTGGATCACGAATGATTCGCGCGAACATAGACGCATTTATGTAGATCGGGGTTCGCATTCCCTTCAAAAACAAGCATAATCCACTGAGTCTTCAGCGGCTCAGATGTCGGGAGTAAATGATGACTGCTATGTTCATTATTACATCCAACAACAGAACACCTCAATCGCTTAGGAGTCATTCTTGTGTTACATATGCATGTAATTGTGATTTTTGTTCACAAGTATTGGCTTGTACTGATACGGCTGCCCCCTAGTG